AGACATAATAGACAGACACTGAATTGAATATACAACAAGCAAAAAGCTTTTAATCTCAAAGAGAAAATTATGTGTATGTTTGTTTATCCTAGAATTTAGTGTATGAAGGATTCCAACGGACTCTCACTGACCCGGAAGTGAGGCAGCAGTGCGGTGAGAGCAGAGTGCCCCCATAGTGGTGAGAGCAGAGTGCCTCCTGGTGGAGCGCGAGCAGCGTGCCTCCCGGTGTGCCTCCCTTGTGATGCCAGGTAGGAGGTGAGGAGGCGGAGGATGGAAGGTAGAGCGAGGATCTCCGGCCGCCATGGTGCCGCCCGGGTCCCGCTGTAGCACGTGCATTCCTCTCACTTGAGCTGTCTTAGAGTAGCATCCCACGTCGCCTCCGCACCTCCTCACCACCGCCATGGAGCCCCACCGGAGCGGGGGGGACCTGGCGCCGCTGCAATACAACCAGCGGTCCTCGCGGTCGCTGGGTCGGTGCTCTCTCTGCTGCTCCCGCCTCGCTGCCATGCTTTGCTCCAACGTGGGCGTGTGTGTTCTGGTGCTCCTCTACACTATTGCCGGCGCGTTCGTGTTCACCACAATCGAGGGCGGTGACATGGCCCTCCAGATCGAGCAGAGGCCTCCGCCGCCCCGGGAGTCCGCCGTGATGGATTCCCTGCGGCAGCACGCTCGAGGTCTTCGCCACGAAACGGTGGAGCGCCTGTGGACAATAACGGAATCCCTGAACATCCTTTACCGCGAGAACTGGACCAGGGTGGCCGAGCAGGAGCTCATCAAATTCAGCGAGAAGCTTATCACCAGACTGCACGAGGACGAGCCGTCGCCGCAGCCCGCGCCCACCACCGCCCACGCCTCTTACCAGTGGACCTTCGCGGGCTCCTTCCTCTACTCGCTCACCGTCATCACCACGATAGGTGAGTCTGGATGCTAATGCGTCTTTCACGGCCTGCTAACGAGATATTGCTTCAGTAATTCAATGGTGCTTTATGGTATCTAATCCCGGTAATTCCTGGGAGTTTCTGCGACGTGTAAGCTAACATTTTTTTTCATTTACACTTATCGTTTGTCTTGTACAGCTGTTAGGTGGGCGTAATAGCCGTTGGATTATCCTTAACCATGTCCATTCATTACCCTAATATTCCCAGTAAGCGTAGTTATTATTCCAGCTAAAAAATCTCTTTGTAGGCTTGTAGTGCAAATCGATGTCGTTAGCTATAAAAAATGCATATAAAGTATACAAAATGTCGTTATCAAAATCCTTTGCCAAGGATATGTATAAAGGGCAACGATCACTATTGAACTATATACTAATAATAAAGCTTAATGAAATAACACAGAAAATAGGTTTTAGGCACACATAGGTACTGCAGTTAAACACAGAAAATGGATGATGAAAGAATATGAAGGAAGGTGAACAGAAAGGGGAAAATAAAGAAAAAACTATGATTTGTAAAAGGAGATAATTGTAAGGTATGATGGTAGCCGCGAAGAAAGGCTGTATTGTTACAGAAGAAGAGTAATTGAGTGATTTATATAATGAGAGCTTGTATTGCCTGTATGAGAACGAAGCTTCATGTTATTGCAAATGGATGACTCTACATGTATGTTCATCTGTAGTTATCTTTTTAGGAGTATTTAGTTTTTCATTTCGTCCATCGTCTCTTTCACTTTTAGTGTCGTTCTTTCTACCTTGTTCTGCCCTTTTCATTTTGCGTTTATTCCTCCTGAAAACAAACAAAGGTTCAAGAAGCAGCTCGACCGCAAAGTTAGGATGGAAGTCCGCGGCTTCGCTCTCATCGCCGCTTTTAGAGCTCGTGGCTTCCCTGCGAAGGGAATCGATTACTAGTTCGCCGTCCGTGTGGAATTCCATGCAACGCAGGCGATGTGTGTTTTATCATGGAAATAAAATCCCGTGTAAATAGAAGCAGACACACGCGCGTGCACACACACACACACACACATACACACACACACACACACACACACACACACACACACACACACACACACACACACATACACACACACACACACACACACACACACACACACACACACACACACACACACAAACACACACAAACAAACAAACAAACATAAACACACGAACATCCTAAACTAAATATGAGCAGCACAAAGGAACATGGGCGCACCCACCCGAGGGACCGAGAACGTACGCAGCAAATTGGTTTTCCATCGCGCTTTTGCCGATTGATTCTGAGGTCATTATTCTTGGAATGTGGGAAACTGTGGAAGGGCGTTTCCCTCTCCAAGTTGGCAAATCATCTCCGACCACAAAGCAGCGAGAGCCGTCTGTATCACCTGCCTGATGCACCTCCGACGCCTCGCCGATCTCCCTCGTCAGAACCCACTTTGTTTTGAGTCTCTTCCAACTATCATTCTTTATCAGAGACTCCCTTTGGTCTCGAATTGTTCCCCTTTCGCTCCCGTTCGAGTATTGCTAATCTCCGACATCTATTCCCCTTCACTGATCATATGAAAACGTTACAAGATCTGTGACTTCCCTCAGCATCATCGTGTGGGATTTGACGACTTGCAGAAAGGTCGTGAGAAAAGCCACAGCGGCCTACAGGGAGATCGTCAGAGAAAACAAGGGTCTCGGGGGAATGTTGCAAATGCAGTGAAGACCAGACCTTCGAATAATCGTAGCTCTTCGCGAGGCGAGTTCAGGCGGACTCGGTGACCTTTCGAGCTCCAAATCAAGCGTAGATCATTACTCTCATTCGCGGTTCTATATGTTAAAGTGGTTTCTTTGCAGACGAATTTACATCGAGCTGAAGTCATTTCTGAATAAAACCACTTAAAGGGTTTTGTCCTTTTTTCGCTGGCGATGCTAGAAAGGCAGGCACACTCTTGGCAGAAAGGTACACTACCAAAAGCAAATGAAATTTCCTAATAATGATGTTCACCTGGAATGACAATGGTGCCAAAAAGACCGCAGAGGTAATTCTCCTCACATAATTTTAATACAACATGTATGGCATAATGTCGGACTAATTCCAAGTATATTCCGCAATTGTATATGAAATTCCGTTGCCCAGTCAAATTTCCATTATTCGTCGCGGTGAGTTATGAGAGTCGCGCGCAAACCAGAAATTGTACATCCAAGGAGGGACTGGCGAGCATGCGGGAGTGAAATAAATCCAGAGTATAAATGGATACAAAGGTAAATATTTCACAAATGCATGAATAGCTTAGACGATGAATAAAGAAGTAGATAAAACATGAATAAGTATACAAATAAAGGAGATAAAGGTATAATTAGGTAAACTAATATAAACATTCTAAAAAATAAAACAGAGACATATACTATGTAAATAGTATACATAGAAGAATGAACAGATGGATAAAAGTGGAAACGTTTGAGCGGGTCCTTCGTTCGGAACGAAGTGATGAGAGCTGAAGAACGATGCAATCGGAATGCAAAATGCATCGTAACAAATACATTTTCCTTGCAAACTGATAAAGTTTTATGGAGTTGTGGGAGAGCGCGAATTATTCGTGAATATTATGCCGACCATAGTATGCGTTTTACGTAATTTCGTCTGGATGGAGTAATCATGTAGTATTAGCAAAGCATTTAATTAAAAATTCCGAGATTTGAGGGCTGCATGGGAGCCTTCGGCGAATGGACTTGATTAGGAAATCTTTGCTGCTGCGGAAAAAAATATTCATAAGGGCAAGTTTTTTTCTTTTCTAGAGAACAGCTAGAAATATGAGAACGATAAGAGCAAATAAACATATATAACCGACAGTTTCTGAATCAAACTAGGTTCTGACAGGAGAAAAAAACAAAAACATACACAAAATATTGATGCTGCAAAATGAGACAAGAATTTCGAAGTCGTCTCCGGAGTGCAAAGAGGTGGAAAAGATGAAGGTATTATTAGATGATTAATATTATCAATCATGCTGTTAGTAGTAAAATGATGAATAATTGCGAAATTCGTGGCATTTTGGTGTAATCTATGAACAAGTTTACCCCAACCTGACAATAGAAAAAAATATATATAAAGGTGTGCCAGTTTGCCTCATAGGTTTTGGTGCAAATATATTTTGTGGGAAAAATAAAAGGAATTTGTGTGTATATAACTGAAAAAATCACATGCATGTTGTTCATATTGGACTCGTGATTGTGGTTCAAATCGCCATAAATATCTAGTATTTAATTCAGGGAGGTGAGTTTATTATTCATACATATACTGCAGAATACGAAACATTACCCAGCTGCGTGGGCTTTGTTCGGAAACCAAACGTTGTATGGCAATGTGCACCTAACAAGTGAGTGGTTCTTGTTTGCCAAACAAAACCTGACCATACACGTTAATGCGCAATAATGCATTATCATCTAATACTAATTAAACTTCCATTAGATCGTAAAAAATTGAATTTACGATTATCAAGTTAATGACATCCTACTTTAATTTTGTAATATCATCGTAATTAACAACGGTTTCGAGCGAAAGGTAATAACCTCTACCATAAAATATATTATTATCAAGTATAAGATTGTTCCATCTCTCTCTCTCTCTATCTATCTATCTACCTATCTATCTGTCTCACTCTCTGTCTCACTCTCTGTCTCTCTCTCTCTCTCTCTCTCTCTCTCTCTCTCTCTCTCTCTCTCTCTCTCTCTCTCTCTCTCTCTCTCTCTCTCTCTCTCTCTCTCTCTCTCTCGCTCTCTCCCTCTCTATCTATCTATCTATATATCTATCTATCTATCTATGTGTATGTATATATATATATATATATATATATATATATATATATATATATATGTGTATATATCTATCTATCTATCTATCTACATATATCTATCTATCTATCAATCTATCTATCTATCTATCTATCTATCTATCTATCTATCTATCTATCTATCTATCTATCTATCTATCTATCTATCTATCTATATATACACCAACACACACACACACACAAACACACACACACACACACACACATATATATATATATATATATATATATATATATATATATATGTGTGTGTGTGTGTGTGTGTGTGTGTGTGTGTGTGTGTGTGTGTGTGTGTGTGTGTGTGCGTGCGTGTGTGTGTGTGTGTATGTGTGTTGGTGTATATATATATATATATATATATATATATATATATATATATATATATATATATATATATATATACCGCGATAGCTCAGTGGTTAGAGCACTGGACTCCGACCCTCGTGGTCCCGGGTTCAATTCCCCGACGCGGCAGTCGTAAAAATGCCTGCGCTCTGACTGCTACCTCGGGCCCGAGAAAACGACATATCGGCTTGAGAAGTCAAACGCAGGTGTCGTAGGGGAAGTCACCGCCGTGGCACAAGTGTTAACGCGCCGAACCGCGGTTGATTAGGAAGGGCATTCAATCAGGCAAGGGTGACGCCGCCATATAACCTCTCAATACTGAATAGAGAGAGGCCTATGTCCTGCAGTGGAATGAATGGCTGTTTGAAAAAAAAAAAAAAAAAAAAAAAAAAAAAAAAAAAATATATATATATATATATATATATATATATATATATATATATACATATATACATATATGTATATATATATATGTATATATATGTATATATATGTATATATATATATATATATATATATATATATATATATATATGCATATATATATATGTATATATATGTGCGTGTGTATGTGTGTGTATGTGTGTATGTGTGTGTCTGTGTGTGTGTGTCTGTGTGTATGTGTGTATGTGTGTGTGTGTGTGTGTGTGTGTGTGTGTGTGTCTGTGTGTGTGTGTGTGTGTGTGTGTGTGTGTGTGTGTGTGTGTGTGTGTGTGTGTGTGTGTTGGTGTGTGTGTGTATATATATATATATATATATATATATATATATATATATATATATATATATATAT